GAATTCAATTTATAGTGGGGAGAACTGTAATATAAATGTAATTGTAAATTGAATTTAAATTGAATATAATATTAACTTTTCGTTTGTAAATTACATAACCTGAAGGATTGAATTCATGATATATATATATACGTGATATTTTGTATTAAATATACTTTTACTTACTTTACCTATTTTACTTATTTAATAAAACACTTCATCATGCAGCACTTACATCTGCAAATATTACTTCCACAAAAGCCTTCCCAACCTTTTTCAGATGGTGATAGAAAAAAAAATATTTGTTAGATTTTTATTATGAAGATGTTAAAGTATCTTATGACGCCTTACTAGCTGAATAACTATGTTTGATTAACTATAGTTGATATAGTCCCAAAAAATGCTATGGATGCTCTGCATTATTTCAAACACATTTTAGATTAAATTCCCAATGTATTAAAAGGGTTTATAAACTCTTCCCATTAGTAAACTAATGAGAGAACATTCTCTTTTTTAAGATGAATAACAGAAGCATGCAGAAGTACCATTTGCAGGGCACGGCCCGGATTTTTTTAAAGATTTTTTACGGCCTGGCCTGGGTTTTTTTTAAAAAAATTTTCAGACCTGGCCCGGCTTTTTTTAAAATTTTTTTTAGGCCGCTCAGATTTTTTTAAAAAATTTACAGGCTCGGCCCGGCTTTTTTTAAAATAAAATTTTCAGGCCCGGCCCGGATTTTTTAAAAATAAACTATATTTATTTTTGATTTTTATAGCTAATAATAACGATTTTAAATATAGGCTGTTTTAAAAAATACATCCTGGCCTGGGTGTTTTTTAAAAAAATTAATATACTGACCGGCCCAGGGGCCGGGCTTGCAGGTCTCTGAAAAACATACCAAGAAGTACAACATGTGAAAATAGATTGAAAGGTTTGGATTTTTTGAATAATAGGCATTTGACGACAAGCAAGGATGAGATAATTGAAAAATTAGCTCAATTCCAACGAAGATTAGATTTTACATTGTAAATATATAACATTCAGAATACAATTATTCCTAAGAAACTTTTTGTGTAAAGGCTCAAAAAATTCAAATTTCTATTTTGGGTCATTTAAATGATTCTTTACATATAATTTTTTTATAATTCACATTAATTTAAAATTGTGTATTAGGAATAATTATTAGTCCTAATAAATTTATGCTTGTATTTTTAAAAAACAATAATATTTCTCAAAAAAATTTATTATCCCTCTCCCCCCCCCCCCCAGACCAAATTCCTGCGTATGCGCCTGTATATATAGTTGATAAAAACTTGTAAAAGATCGAAATAAATATAATAACTATTGAATAAATTATTTGATTAAATATTCATGTAAGTTAAAAAAGAAGTTGAATCTATTTTAAGATTATATTATAAAAGGATGGCGAAGTCCATCAGGCTACATAATGTAATGATCTTGTAATTCTCTCATTTTGAAAATGTAACTACTGAATCCTAAATATTTGTTTGTGTAATTTAAAGTAACGTTTGTTTTTCGTTTCATTGAAAGTATTTTTTTAAACAAAAATAATTTAGATATTTTTTTATAAAATGTATTATACGTTGAAAATTGAATGCATAATTATATTGTTTAACGGAAAACAAAGGGATCCGATAGAAAGAGGGAATAGGATTTCTTTATTTTCAAATATTTTTGTTGTGAGTGATATCATTTTCTTAATAATAGTAGCCCTGAAAATTTTATTATTTCAGCAGAGGTAAAAGACGGTGATTGTATTGTGAAAGAAAAATGAATTAAATATATGGATTGTTAGATTGTGAAACAAAAATTATTTAAAGTTTTATATATTATCACTTTTTTTATTATTATATTGAATTAGTTAACAAGATAGAATCAGTAATAATATTAATTTTTTTCCCACAGTTGCTGTCTACAATTAAATTTATCTTATATCTTCACGATCCATCATTTAAAAATAATATATAGTATAAATATAAAATAGAATATTTACCCATTAATACATCTCCTCCAATCTTGTAGAGCCCTTATTTATTTTTGCAACTTTAATAAATTGACCAAAAATAAGATGAAAATGTTGTTTTATTTGAAAAATTTGTCCTTTTATCAAATGCTTAAAATGTGAATCTTTAATCTTTATTATATTATATTATACAATAAAATATTAATAAACTGATCAATTAAATTTTTTATCTTATTTTTATTTTCATTAAATCTGATTTTTAATTATGTAGTGAAGTGCTTTCCAAATAAAGTTAAAGTAACTGTTAGCCTTTTTCTGAGGTATCGAAAGTAACTTGACCGTTATATTATACCCTGTAAATACAGGCAAATGAGAGAATTCATGTTTTAAGATATCACTGATTACATTTACCAATTATGAAACATTCTTCAAGGCTTTTTCAGAAACACTATTCAAAAACTTATTTAATCAAAATGCATCGAATATAAATATTTCACACTCGTTATACGCTCAAATCTATTTGCCAAAAACTGTTCAGTTATATTATTTATAATTTGATCAATTACAGTGATAATGCTTCAACAATTTAGAGAATCTTTCCATTCATTGCTGCACACTATCCTTGTTTGACTTATTCTATTCATATTCACTTATACACAGAGGCTATCTGGTAGTTTTAAATCAAGATTTTTTTTAAATTTTAATTTGCAGTAAGATTTATTTTGAATGGTTGGGAAGGTTATAAGTAGTGATTAAGTCAATAATAAATACATGAAATTTCTGAACAAATATCCTTTCCCTTTTAATTCCGATAAATACATGACATTCTTTTTATTTCTGGTTGTTTTTTTACCTGTTGTCATCTCTATTTTCAGCCAAATTTTAAACAACTATTAATAATTTCTGGTTTAACACTATCTCTTATTCTCATTAAATCAATTTTTTACTTACCAACTTACTGTTAAGCTGTAGTTAGCAAGTCACTAAATCAACCCCTTTTTAAAAATCATTATCAATTGTGAAAATGGATTAGCACATAAGTTAGCCCCAATTTTTGAATAATTAGTTCAGCACCCATTTAACCAAATATATTAATATCTAACTAGCTTTCTTATTAGATTTTAGGGCTTGTTTTAAATAAATATAATTTTCCTTTTGCATTAAATTATTTTATTGTTATATTTTTTTCACGCCTTAAGCAAAAACAAAATTGTAAAAAAAACAAATTATAGGATATGAAAGTTGTATATAATCTATTTATAATTATTTATTAGGTGATCCGAAACATCAAAATTTAATAAATATAATACATAGAATACAAGATTTTTAAATTCTATTAACAGTCATTTTTGCGTTGATTTTTAATGCAAACAGAGGTTTTCCCCCCAATTAATTAAATCTTTATTTTAAAATCGAATTCTGAAAAAAATAAAAACAAAAGGAGCGACTTGGTAAAAATATTTTTTTTATCCTTTTTGTTTCCATATCTATGTTATATATTATTTTGATTAGCGAATACATGTTTATAATAACGGCCCGAAATAGGAATTAGAAGGGGGGCGAAGTTTTTCGCAAAAAGAGTGAAAATTATACTTATTTAAAAATAAATTAGCATAGCACACTCTTTAGTTAAAAAACTAGCGAAGCCTCTGTCCTACTGCTACTATACATTATTCTATGCTATATGCAAGTTGGCAATATTGCAAATTTTATATGCTTTTGCCATTTTCTTCTCTCTAAGTTTACTACAATAAGAAAAATAATATGAGATCAGACTTATTTATAGCCATTGCAAATTTGAAATGAGCGAATACACATTTATCTATAATTATAGTTATCTTCCTCTGACAAGTGTATTAGGAAAATCATATTTATCGGCATATTAAAAATAAAACATAAATTACAACTTACTCAAATACAATATAGCTAAAATGACTTTAAAAACATCTATCCTCTATTTAACAAAGAAAAGATTTTTGCTGTCTAGATTTTCATCTTGATGTAATTTTTTGGACTAGCGTATCTAAGCAAATCCTTGTGATCTCATAAACATTCAAATCCTACCACTCTACATAGGTTAAAAAGTTTAAATCTAAATTTAGACAAAATAATTGCAAATCTAGCTAAATTCAGTGCAAATAAAGTTTTTTGAAATGTCATGTTATATGGTAAGGTATTATGAATCTGGTGGTAAGAAGTTTGTACAAATCAAACTATATATTAGCTGCAAAATTATTCTTAATCCTCTTTATCTAATGCAGACTCAGAACAAATATGGTCTGCTTTTATAAAAACACATTCAAAGATTAAAAAATCAACTACACCTTGAAAGAGTAAGAAAATTTATTTCAATTCACTAACCAACATCTACATGATAAAATTCTAGCAGAATCCAATAAAGGAACAATCAATAGAGAGATTATATAACTTCTAGGGAATGTATTTCTGATTCTGGGGGATTTTTAAATCATTTTATTCTAACTCTTAATAATATATATTTATTTCACCTTGCACTTATATTGATTGTATTATATACATAGAATATTTAAGTATTTAATTTCAACTTTATTTTCCGGGAATTTAATATCACGTTATAAGATTCAACAACCTAAATTTTCATTTTGAAATAATGATATGTGCCCTCTTATTTTAAAAATTAAAACTGATTTAACGCTCAAATTTTTATTGACTCTCGTTAAAAGATTTAGCTACTGATAAGGCTTTCATCTTAAACAAATTACTATTAATTATGCTATATAAAACATGAACCGTCGGGAGCTCTCCTTGCCATATAAAGTAAATAATTATAAAAATTTAAACTTTTGAATAAATTTATGAATACTCTTAAGTTTATAAATATTAATTTGAATGCAATTATAAATAATAAACAAATTTTATTTAAAAATATTATGTAAATAATCCAAAAAATTAAACTCTTGTAAATAATTATTCAAATTTTTTAGTTAATAAATCATAATTTGAGATAGTTATAAATAATTAACCAAATTTAAAATATTATATAGATACTTTTAATTTAATTAAAAGAATACTAAAAATTACCTAATCCTGTGACGATGATTGACTTCAAAGGCGATTCAACAAGTTTACCATTTATTTAAGCTATAATTGCTATGGTGCATCAATCAACTCAAATGGAGATTGCAACTAACGAAAAACCTATAACACATACACTGTAAATCATTTTTCTTATTATATTTATAAAATATTTAGTAATCCCACGACTACTGGAACATGTGTAATCGGTCTTATATATGAAGATGGAATAATATTTGCAGCAGACACATTGGTGTCATATGGAAACATGCTTAGATATTTTAATTTTTCAAGACTCATTAAAATCAACGCTAAAACTTGTTTGGCCTTCACTGGTGATATAGCGGATTTTCAATTTATTCAAAAATTAGTTGAAGAAAGAGTGTAATTATTTATATTTATCTCATTCTTTATTATCTAAGTACAGAATACAAGAAAGTTGTTATAATGATGGATTTGTACTGGATGCTTTAGAATGGCATACATATATAACTCGTATATTATATCATCGGTTATATTAATCAATTTAGATTATACAAATACAAATTATTTAATAGGAGATCAAAATTATCACCACTGTGGAACATAATATTAGTAGGAGGTATAACAAATTCTGGAGAAAAGTATTTTTCTATTATTTTCTTGTATACAACAATTTCTCTTAGATTTTTAGGTTATATTGACATGTATGGTGTAGGTTATAAAGCCCCTGTTATTGCCACTGGCTTTGGTGGTATGTTAGTTCAAGTAATTGTAAAATTAATCATTTTTTAACCTTACAATTGTTAAATATAAGCCACTAATAAGAGAAACATTAGCAACAAAAGAAATGTTATCTGAAGAAGAGGCCAAAAGCTTAATCAAACGATCCATGAGATTATTGTATCTACGTAATACAAGATCTGCAAATAAAGTTATAAAAAAATAGTTTTAACCCAATATACATTTTTTTAGTATAATATTGCACTGATTACCAAGGATGGAGTTAATATTGGAGAACCAGAAACAATTGAGGCAGATTGGAACATAGCAAAATATGTCATGTAAGTTTTATTTTGCTAATCAATAAATAACTTATTTTATTTGTTATATAAATATAATTATTTTCTTATTTCTATATTAGTGGCTATGAATAAAGATTGGGAACTATTAATAAATTATACATAAATATGTTAATTATATTATGTTTGTAATTAATACAAAAAAATTGAAGCTATTTTTTTGCAAATTAAATTGTATATTAAATGTCTAGCATTTGTCATTATTATAAAATATTTTTTTGATTGTTGTTTGAGACTCCACAAGTTAGTTCTAAAATTAGTAGTTTCTTCTCCTCTTTATTGTTGTGATTAAATGTGTAATAGGGTATTACCTTTATAAAAAAAATTAATATTTACTTTATTAAAAACAATAATTTTTTGTAAAAGTATTATTTACATCTTAAATCAATTTATTTGAAGGAATAGACTATAAAACTTATAGGCTTTAAAAAACATAGTTCTTATCTGGTCAATGATGGATACTAGTGACCTGCATTGGGCCTAATTTTTTAAGCCTGGCATGGTCCAAAAATTTTATAAAAAGTTTTGCTGGTCAAAATCTGATTTTTTAAAAAATTTTATGAGCCCGGATTCATTTAAATATAGAAATTAATTTTTATAATTACTCAAAATAAAAGATATATGTTATATGGCGCTAATTTGCTAGATACTGACCAAAATTTATTAAAATGTAATAAGAGCACCTTATTACTAACATATATTAACAATTCCCCCCAAGGAGGGAACCATCAAGTTAGATTAAGAAAAATCCTTGATCTTTACTTGGATTCAAACCCAGAACCATCAGATTGGCAAGCGACGTTGCCAATTAGGTCATAGAGGCTCTCCAAAAATCATGATTTTCAAATATATTATAAATAATTTTGGCACTACCTATCCAAATGAAAAGTGAGTAAACAAATTTGATAGGTACTACCTTAGGCAGTAGCTATCATTAACCTTCTATATTATATTGGCCCTTGGAAAATTTAGGTTTGGTGGTTTTGATATTAGTGGAGCTAGAATATATATCTTAAATTAAAATCTTTATTTTATTCTTTAAAATTTATTTGTTATTATGTTATGCATTCAAATTTAAATATTTATTTAATTGGTCAAATAATTTTATTCTATTTATTACAAAGTTATATAAAAAAGATTATTAAACCCAATTTCAAATTGTAATTAGTGTTGTTAATCGGCTCCATTCTAAGCCTCTAGATTTCGTTAATAGATGTCCAAACCTTTGCACCATCCATGTACAACATGTTTAAGCTTGCCTAATATTTTTCCAAATAAAATATTGAGTTAGCCATTTTTAAATATTGGCTCAAATCGATCCATTTAACAACACTAATTGTGATGTATAAATATAAGCAATCCAATATATCAAAATTTTGGCTTGTTCTTAATTCTCCTATATTGCTAGTATTTGAAATATTTAGCTCAATGCACTGAAAAAACCAGCATAACAAATAATTTTTTTGTATTATCTCCTATTTTTTAATTATGCTATTGAATCAAGAGGGAAAAAATTAATATTTTCTGCCAAAGTATTGATAATATTCCAAGGGTTCTGCCAGGCTTGCACACAAATTTTTAATGGGTTGGGCTTGGCAGATCATTATTATAAGGCATCAGAGTCAAAATGTATGAATGATCATGATATTTAGAAGTGAGTAGTTGTATAAAATAATAAGAGGAAGTTGATAGTATTTAACCCAGAATAGTAGCTAAAATTTGTATTAGGCCTACTTGATTTATATAAAGTATTTTTAGAGAATTTAAATATTTATAAGCTAAAAATACTTTAAGAGGTTATCACTAACCCACAAGAATATTATTTTTTGTATTTTTTATGGCTCTTCAATACTAATGGATAAGTTATACAATGATTTAATTACGGAAATTTATCTCAAATAATATTTAGGATTTAAATAAAATAGTTTACACCATTCTCTTAAATTTTTTTAAAGAATGGGTTTTCAACAACCAAAGGAATCATTTTTTTCTTCTAATTATGATTCATTTCAAAAACCTAAATACTAGAAAAGATAATTTTCGGAAAAAAATGGATTGAATTTTTTAAATTTAATAATCTGAGCGCACTTCGTGATTATGAGCAATTCCTTATAATAACTTGTAGGATCTCTTTTTTAACCAAGAATTAATTTTTATGATTTTTCTTAGAGTTGTGCCGATATAAAATATTTGATCGTAACCGATATTAAGCGTTTTCGAAAATATCGGGTCGGCCCGATACCTAAAAACCGACCCGATCTTTTTATGTTTTTTATTATTTTATGTTATATAATTTATTTTATATTATTATTTCAAAAGATTTTTTATAAAAATTGAATGATTCTAATTACACAACACCTCCTAAAAAATTTTTTTAAATTTAACATATTTTGAATTTTTTTTTATAAAAATGGAAAAGCACTCAAAGTTTTATTTATTTTAAATAATAACCCAATTTTATTATTTATACTTTAAATAAAGAAATTTTTTAAAATATGGCATCTGAATTATGGATATATTTTACAAAGACAATGATAATTTTGAAAAATGCGCTATCTGCGGATTTCTAATTAAACGGGGAGGAATAAAAAATTCATTTAATACTACCAATATCTGGAAACATCTAAACCGATTCCATTAAAGCATATGAAGAGCTAATACATATAAGAGAGAAAAAATATTAGAAAAAAATGAAGAGCCCTGAAGGTTAGCCAACAATATCAGCAATTCTTAATAAAATATTTAGTAAAATTCTGATCTTAAATCCATAATTATTTCTTAATTTATAAGGGAAATGATAGCCTATGACCACCAGCCGATTTTTATCTTGGAGGATGACAGCTTTAAAAGACACATCATTTATGTCCAAATTAGTAAATTAACAATAGACATTATTACATATGAAAATCTCTCCGAAGAAATTTTGGTTCAGGATTCTTATTTTTCCTTTACCATAGATATATGGACTAGAAATTCAGGTGCCGATTCTCACTCATAAGCATGCCATTATATTAACCAATATTTTAAACAAACTAATAGTTCTAAATGTTAAAACATTTAATGGGTTGCATACAGCAATAAACATTGCTCATATTTTAGATGAAATAATTAATTATTGGGGGATAAAAAAAATAAAATGCACATAATCAATAATAAAAATAATGCACCCAATATAGCTTTGGCTATGAAAAACGAGAAATTACATAGCGTTTCCTGTTTTGCTCATAGTTTGCAATTGGTTGCACATGAAGCAATTTTATAACAGAGATCTATCATAGACATGCTTGCTCAGGTAAGAAAATAGGCCACTTTAAACATTCCTCTATTCACAAAATAGTTTAAAAGAAATCCATTCGATTGAGTCTACCTAGGCACAAATTAACCAGGATGTACCAACTCGTTGAGGTTCTACATATTACATGCTCGAACGATTGAAAGAACAAAAAGGGGAGGTACAGCTCTTCATTATCGATAATCATTTTGGGAAATCTCTCATTATATGAGTAGGAATTAGCAGAAAAGGTAATTGAGGTTCTAGTCATTTTCAATTAGCAATATTATACCCCTTGTTGAAATTTTAAAAGTGAATTAACGAATAATTGGGACACAGATAGAGGTCTGCAGACCATGGGCCATTAATAATCAATTAGGAACTCAGTTTTTTATATTTGTGATGATGACAATTATCTTATCGCAACATTACTTGATCTTCGACTGCATGTGAGCCTTTTATTAAAGGTGATTCTAACTCCCAATAAAGATTTGCCAGGTTTATATTTTTTTAAAATAATTTTAGATTTTATTGATAACTTAGGTAATGACAACAGCGTCTACATGAGCGGGAGGGGAGGGCGTAGCAATAGTTTGCAACCAAATTTTTTGAGGGATTAGGCACCTTTAGAGAGATAGGATAAATTTTCTGGGGTGTTATCTATTAAATTTTTAAATGAAATAGGGCAAATTATAATATAATGATATTGCTAAGCATCTAAATCTATATATTGCATACAATCATAGAATGCTAAACAATATACTATAATGCATTCATTGTAAATGAGGGGGTTCTTAATTGAATTAATAATCTAATAAATACAATATCTTTAGTATAAGAGTTAAAATAATTTAAATTATTCAATTTTAAATTTATGAAGGAAGTACTATTATAATTAAAGGGTGTAATTAATAATGTGTAGCGACGGAATTTTTTAAGGGGGTATGGAAAGGTTTTTAAGGGGGGTTTGCACCCAGTGAAAATCCTGTCATGTAAACGCTAAATGACAATGGGAAATGTTTCACATAACATTAAAAAATGCAAATTTAATTTAAGGGATGCTTATAAATTGAAAATCAAAGAGAAACTAGTAACAAATAAAATAATTGAAATCGATAGTAATGTACCTGCCATATTTGAAAGAAATCAAGGAATATTTAAAACCTTAATATCTAGAAGTGCTTGATTAGGTTATGATTGACCCATTTGTTTAGGTATCTATTATTTTCAAACTCAAGAGAAGGTTAGGATTGTATGAAACCTACTATTTAAAAATTTTTTTATATCTGTTTATTTAGATAACTCTAATAACATTGATATTATATCCACTGTGGATCCAGTTGATCGTTAAAGAATTAATGTTGAAAAGTATCTAACTTTGTCAAAACTTGTATGTAAATTTTTGGCGTCTGCTTCAACAAGTGTCCCATCTGGGTCTGTCTTCAGTATGGCAGGGCATATAGATAGTCCACATCGTAGAAGCTTATTGCCAGAAAATCTAGAGGCTCTCATGTTTATTTTAAACAATCTTTTATAATTCATACCAACATATATATAATTTTTAAATAAAATGGATAAATAATTGAATATATATTTTTCTATCTATTATAATATAATTTTTTTAAAAAATAATAGTCTTAATTTTAGAAATAAAAATATTAAAATATATTTAATGCATAATTCGATATTTTGCATAGAAAATATGGATTTTTTAATTACATTTGGTTCAAAGTGGGCTGGTAGAAAAACAATATAAATATCGGATAGGAAAAAAAACATGTGGATCGGCACAACCTTAATTTTCTTATTCTTCAATTCTAGGATAGGAAGGCGCCACGTTTTGAATGAGATTATTAACATTTTATAAAATATCGTCTTAATGTTATGATTTGCTAAATATACCGAATATTTTGTCTTTAATTCATTCAACATAGTTTGAGTGTAGAGGTGACCAATAGCGTTATTAATATCGTGTACCGTTATACCTATTCGATAAAAATTGGGAATCGATTTTGTGATTTTAGGAATGTTATCATTGAGTTTAACGGGAGTATTAATAAGGATGGAATTTATGGTTTCCTTTGAAAACCAAATAAATAAATAATATAATTTTGGATATCATAATAAAAAATCGACGAATTTAATAAATCTTTTATATAAGCAACGAATATAAAGTGACTATGGCGTAGATTTAGGAAACTAACATATCTTAAAGTCGTAATTAGTGAATCAGCTATTTAAAGTGATTTGTCAAGATGCCCATTTATCGATTAAATTAACCGGCTTACAAAACCTACTAACAATTAATAAAATTTAAAATTAATTGTCTATATAATCAGTTACCATAAAATCTGAGTTCCCCATTGCAGGTAATTTTGCCTTTTTTTCATGTTTTTTGAGCCCATAAACAGCATCAATTATACATAAAACAATTTCTTTGGCAAAATATGACACTATTTCTAGGAAATTATCAGTTAATCTAAGACAAGTATGAGGATCGTGTTGTTCAGATGTATGGCCAAATATTGCCGTCGATAAAATCCATTTCTTTATTTTAGATTTACTTTTCATAAATCTATTTAAATGTAAAAAAAATTATATAGGATTAGGATTTAATATTAAAAATAACTATGTATATAAAAAAAAATTTTTTATGCCCCTGTCTGGGCCAAAAAGTTAATGCATATAATTTTATTAAATTTTTTTAACATTCCTAAGCATGAATCCTGCATGGCCAAATAATTATACATTATATAAAGGTAATAAAGACAATCATAAACACAAATTTAATATTATTGGCTAAACTATTAATCAATTATTGGAATAATAACAAATTTTCTGTTTCAAGAGTAAATATTTTAGGAGTGTAATTGAAGTAAGATTTATTGTTCTCTAGATTCAGTTATTCAACTTTAGATAATTTCCATATAAAATAAAGGATACGATTAGGATTCTCTGAAAAATATGGACGTCAACTATCTAAAATTAACAGCAGGTCCATATTCTGGCCATCGCCATACAAAATATTTGGGAATAGCAATCGGTAATGACACATCGTTTTATGAAAAACATGGGATCGAAAAAATAGTCAACCCAACCCTAGGATAAGCCCCCACTTATAATTAACCCTTTAAAAAGCCTGTAAAGGCTGAAGATTTCGTGGAGTCTATTCTGGATCTGCGTCGTCCCATAAAAGACAAAAAGGCTTAAAATCATTATGGTCCTCTAATCATTAGAGCTAAAATAGGTTACAACATAAATGAAGAGGGTCCTCTCCCATAGGCAGGCAAATTAATAATCTTATATAGCTCAGAACTGATATAGTGGAAGACAATTACATAAGCTCAGACTGAAGCATACTAGAATTTATCGTAGATGATATATTCAATGACATCAATTTGGATATCTTCAACTGCTAAGTCTGTCTAGGATTTTCCATCGAAGTTGAATACCTAGTAATTAATTATGAAAGATTACTCAAAAAATGTATCAATAACTCATTCGCAAAGTGTGCACAATATAAGGAACCAATGGTAGATTCTAAAGAATCTTTTCTGATTTACCCAGGCCAATATTCGATTACTTAGACGAACACTAGACACAAAGGCAGATAATAGACTATTACATGATAATAAAGTAAAAAAAATTATAAGAAAAAATATTAGTTTTTTTTCAATAAAAAAATTTACAAAAAAAATTAACTAAAATTTTTTAAATATCAAAAGTTAAACGGAAAAGTAAAAAAGTCAGGTATTATCAAATTTTTATTTTTCAGATATATTAAATTAAGTTTTAAATATATCATGATAAAATATCGTGTGTTCAACTGTCACATTTAGAGTACTAATATTCTTTATGAAGCAAATGTTAGAGGTCTTTAATTGGATGTTTAGCTTGAGTGGACTAAAAAATTAACATTGTGCAGGCAGGTTATATAATTCTAAATCAATGGATGGATGAATTAGAAAAATATTACAAGCCAAATGGGAAAGGTGCCCATATATTTATAAAAATTAATTTTTTATTTCATAATATTACATATTTTATATGTTTAACAGATAAAAAATTCCGTGCATTTTTGTGTTTTTGAAAACCTCACAATAAAAGTGTTATATATGTCTTAGTATAAAATTAAGCCAAAAGAAACCAAAACTTTGGGGGGGGGGGAATCACATATTTCAACCATTATATATATTATATATTTCTCAAATATGTTTTGCTATTTTTAAAATAATATATGCGAATATGCAGATTAGAATATAGTAATATTTATGCAATTTATTATAGCAAATGTAAATACTTTGTAATAATCAGCTGAATTATGTAATATTAGGTATATATGTAATGTGTATACTTTTATAAAATTTGAAATTCTCTTTTAAATGTATGTAAAGGGTATAAAATGTTTAAATATTTTGTTTGAGGGGACCCATAATTTTGACTTACTTTATAATCCCCTTAAAAGGAAGTTATAATATAATCTTGAAAATCAGGTCTACCACAGACCTTTAACATAAATATCTTATCTAGATTTTAATAAAGGAAAGATAACAATTTAATAAAGGTATACCTTCCATAAAAGAATTTAATTTATTGTCAGTGGAATATTTTAAGCCAACAAAACCCTATATATTCTAGGCATATATCAGCCACATATAAGACTGTAATTAGAAATCAATATCCTCTGGCCTATATTTATTTTACAAATTATCTAGCCATAAATTTTTTCTGTCCTTAGATATTTCTAAGGGACAAATTATTAATTTGTATTTTTCAAGATTTATAAAAAACCCCAATATATATTTTATAAAATTTTCCTCCAAATTTTTTAGGACTTCAGGCTAGGCAACATAAATTATAAATAAAATAATTTATAGTATATTTTTGAAATTTTACCCAGCATTTTTCATTTCTTTAAATTGGTAATATTGAGATAATGACAAAATAGAAGATATATAATCTAATCTTTCTTTTCTTTCAATATCCATGATATTAATAGAATCATTAATTTCATTTTCTAAGGTTCCAAAATTGATTTTTAAATATTCATATGCTCTCTTTACACTAATAGATCTTATTTTTCCCTCTAAAAGAAAGATATATGAATCATATATATATATATAATAAAACTTCGTGAAAAAGTATTATCCATCATATCAATATTTGTGCTATCATAAGATAATGAAGATAATTTTCTTGTTGCCAACCATTGAACAAAACGTTGAGTTTGAATTTTATTATCTCTGATAATATCTAAAAAAATTTCCACTATAATATCTTCATTTAAAAATTCTCTTTCTTTATTTATGTCTTTAATATGAGTAAGCTTAAATTACGTTGTTAAATAATTTTATAATTTTACTAAAAAATACTATATATTTTAATTCATTCAATATGAGATAATTCACTAATTCAACAGTATCATCAAAGGGCTCCAATCGATCGCCGTTGGTGGCTCTATTAATTATATAAATTACATTTATTATAATATATAAACAATATAAATCTAATTTCATCGTAAAAATCCACTACATTTTGAGTGTTCTGCATTTAAATTCTACATATGTGAAAATGTACAGGGATTAACAGCCTAAAATGGCGAAACACTAACAATTAATTAATGACATATAATAATATTAGCTTTTAAATGTATTATAAACTGACAGTTTTATAATATCTTTTGGAATTTTTTTCCGTTTCGTGGAATCCCACCTAGTGTCCTCCCCCTTGCTATTATGTTGCTATTATGTTGTTCATGTATTGTATAGTTTTGTTTTTAAAAAAATATAATAAATTGCTGTCTACCTAATTGTAAACTTTAAATACTATTTTTTTCCTGTAATTTTAAATTTCAAAAAAGTTTCATCACCTTCTTTGTCTATTATATTATTATTTGATTCTGCACTGTTAATTTCCTAATTGCGTTAATACTCTTTTGGATTCAAACCAGTACACTGTTATGGAGGTAAATCTATCATGTTAAATTTTTTTTCTAACTTTAATTGAACCTATCATATTTTATTTTTTTAACTTTAATTTAAAATTTTGTTGGATATTATTTAATATTATTTGATGGTACTAAATTATTTTATTTTTTTAACATTAATTTAAATTTTTTGGGATATTTTTTTATATTATTTGTCGGTACTAAATTTTTTTCTCTAATCCTATCCTTTTGGGTAGTTTCTCTATTACAAAAATTTCAACTGTAATGTAATGTTTTTCACCTTCATTTGTATTTGGAAATTGTAAGTGGTAACATATTTAGGATAGATGGAAGTAAAATGCCTAACGCTAATGTTCTATTTTGTTCTGTTAAATTGTATTCCCTCTTAATTTTATCTTTTCTGGAAATGCTTTATCAGGAAAACAACTACTTCTTTAGTATTGTTATACACTATTATTTTGTAATATTTTTTGTTTTAGGTAAAAAAGTAACTTTTGTTGTTCTTTTAAATTGTATTCCCTCTTAATTTTTTCTTTTCTGGAAATGCTTTATCAGGAAAACAACTACTTCTTTAGTATTGTTATACACTAATATTTTGTAATATTTTTGTTTTAGGTATTAAAAAAGTAACTTTTGTCAGATGATGCTAAGATTAAAAAAAAAGTAGCTTTTGTCAGTAGATGCTAAGATAACGCCTTATGTCTACTTCTTGTATTTCCCTCTTATTTCTGCATTTCCCTCTTATTTCTGCAGATTCTGTAGGCTTATTCTAATAAAGTCTTTAACCTTTAAAGAGTTCTTTTGCTCTACTAAACAGGTTTCTTTGAAATTGTACTCTAATTTAACTGTTTCTGATCTTAACAGTTATCAGTAAAATTATGCAAATTAGAATACATTATTATCAGTAAAATTATGCAAATTAGAATACATTGATATAGCAATTTTCATCCTTTTACTAATTTTATGGTTTCTTAAGTGATTAAATTTTTAGAAGTTTAGTTGTACTAAAATCGTGGTAGTCCTAAAAACTGAACGAAGTCATTTTGTAAAACCTTCTCTTGATTAACAATGTATTATTATACTTTTTCATGATTTCTTTTTATGTGTAGTAAATAAGTAGTTTAGACTACCCTTAATGCATGAGTAGTTCGAACACTACCACTAGAATTAAAATGTTAAGAAATAGGAGTCTATTTGACTATTAGTAGCGGGGTTTTTTTTTGGAATTATTTTTCTTTATGAATTATCTAAGCATGGTAGGTTAAATAGAGGACAAAGTATTTGTTTTTTGTCCTAAATTTATTTTAAGATATGATTTTTCTAATTTAAATTATATCTTTTCTGTATCCATATTGCTCACGCATTACTCATGCCTAAATTTATTTCAAGGTATGATTTTCTAATTTAAATTTCTATATATTTTCTGTATTTATATTACTCACGGTTGGTTTGTTTAGGAATTATTCGCAGGAAAGTTACAAATAGCTTCATTAAATATAAATGGATTAAATAATAAATTGGCGGTTCTATTAAGATTGTTGGAAGCAGAAGGAGTAGATTTAATAGGCATCCAGGAAACTCATTGCCCAGGTAACAGTATGGCAAATTTTAGTGTATATAAGATGTTTAGTTCGGGAACCACTTCAAATAGTTGGGCCGGAATCGCCTTTTTGACTAAGAAACGTTTACATAAATACATTATAAAATTTGTACCTGTATCGGAGAGATGTGGACTTCTATATCTGAATACCAAGTTTAGATCCACTATTGTTGTGAATTTTTACGCCCCACCTAATTGGAACATGAGGAAAATTTTTTTGGACGAAATGATAAATATATTAAACTCCCTCTCAAATAGATATAACGTAATAATCCTGGGTGATCTAGGAAAAGACAGTGAATATATAAGTAGAGGAGTTATTGGGCAAGCTGCCATTCAACAATCTAATGATGTAGACAGCATAAAATTCCTAGATTACTGCAGTAACAAAAACTTTAAGGTAGAAAATACTTTTTTCTGCCATCGTGATATCAACAAATATACCTTTGTGAGGGGCAGACAGATATCTCAAATTGACTTCTTTATTTCCAATATTCATAGTTGGTTTGTAGATGTTAAAGCATCTACTAGGGTTAACATATCTGATCATAAGATGGTTATTGCAGTTATAAAAATAAAAAACATCTGGGGATATCACAATAATAGTATTCCTAACTTAATGGTGGTCAATGCTACCTCGTCCAATATAATTTTTCCACGTAAAGCAAATAAGTTTCTATTGCAAGGAAACAAAACTCTCTTTGAACAATCCCTTATTTCTAAAAAAGGAACCTTTATTAATACTACCAGAAATGGAAACGTTGAAGTTTGCTGGGAACTTTTTAAGAAAGAACTAGCGGAATCTTATGAGAGACTGCCAAACGTAAATCTTGTATCTAGGAAAGAATGGATGTCTGATGAAACTCTTGGGAAGATATATCAACTAAGAATGACGAACAGCTCTAACATTGATTTATGGAAAGACATTAAAAGATTACTATGGAAAGATAGGAGAATTTTTATTGCTAAAAGGGCGGCTGACATTGACAAAGATATGAAAGAGAACAGGATCTACGATGCATATAAAAAATTAAAGTACTTCTGCAAATCCAGTTGCTTCGTGAAACTTCCTATGATTGTCTTAGCGAATGGGAAAACCATAACAGACCAAGATGAGCAAATGGCACTGTGGCTGGATCATTATATGTCGATTTTCGACTCCCGCAAGGCTACCTTTAACTACTATGAATTCTCATACAATTATATCCCCGGCTGGTTTCTCTTCAAATGTTTCAAACATCGTAAAGAAACTACGGAACAATAGAGCTCTGGGTTTGGATAAAATTACTGCTGAATATTTAAAAATATCCCCGAACATAATCTCTTCTTTTCTCCTTGCTCTCTTTAACAAAATTTGGGAAAGTGGGAAAACTCCGACAGAATGGAATAAATCTCTCCTGTGCAACTTCCCGAAAATCAAGGAACCTAAGAAATTCGCGGACTATCGGGCAGTAGCTCTGACCTCCTGTGTATCGAAAGTCTTTATGACACTCATCAAGAACAGGATCTTAACTTCTACACCCCATCTTCTTTCTAAATATATCTGCGCATATAGGCCAAATAAAAACATTTTGGAACCTATTTTATCGCTGAAAATAATTATGCAAAAGTGCTGGAAATACAGGATTCCGTCTTATTACACTTTTATCGATTTTAGTAGGGCCTTCGATAATGTGGACCATAACGCCTTATGGGTAGCACTATCAGAGTGTGGTATCGAACAAAATATTATCTCCATCTTAAGAATCATTATTCCAAATTAACTTCATGTTTTAAAACAAACGATAAAATATCACCCTCCTTCAAGATAAAAAAGGGAGTAAAACAAGGTTGCACTTTATCACCACCTCTCTTTAACATGATAATAGATAAAGTCATAAAGGAGGTAAATGCTGCTGCAAACTTGGCTGACTTTGGGTCTAATGTTCCATATGAAAAAATACATGTAGATTTTTTAAAATTTGAAAAGAAAAAATATTTTATCATAGTGTTCAAAATGGATAGATTGCCAACAGGTGTCAATAAGATCGTTTCGTATGCCGACGATATTGTTGTAATATCAAAAAATATTGAAGAGACTGTAAGTCTGATCTACCTTATCGAAACCATAAGCCTCAGAGTTGGTTTAAAAATTAATTTCAATAAAACGGTTATTCTTTCTTCGCCAAATACACCACCGCTCCAAAATCTTTTGGTAGGCGGGAACGTTATCAAAAAAGTAGATAATATCAAATACCTGGGTGTGATGCTTAATAACAAGGGGGAATGTAAAGAGGAAATGAAGATTATAACGCAAAAAGCCAAAAGAGCGTTCTATATGTACATGTGGAAGTCTAAGGAAATATTGATTTTTACGAGGTTGTTCAACTCTACTGTTATCCCCATTTTATTATATGGAAGTGAATATGGGAAGTTAACAAGACTGACTTAAGACGTATTCAATCCTTTATTAATAATTGTCTGAGAACTATAAATGGTATTTTTTATCCCAGAGTCATCTCTAACTCTAATCTCTGGAGGAAATCTAGCCACACTCCGATAAATATTACGTTAAAAAAACGTCGGATACAGTTCCTAGCCCATATAATAAGGAATTCAGATCACAACCTTGCACATGATGCTATCGTTTGGTTATATACACATAAAGGGAAACAGTATACTAAATATAAATCGTTATGGTATTACAAAGCTATAAAAGACGTGATGGAGCTGAATGTAAACATGAAACAATTTATAAAGCTTAATAATTGCAAAAGGTCTATCAGAAAACTCTTTCGCATCAAAGATAGATATTTCAGATGAAATTTGTTCCTAGGGATCTCTAGTTCACATACCTTTTTCTTACTTTTCTTCCTCGATTTCTCTTGTGGATTTATTCCTCTCGAAAGTATTTTTCTTTTTTACCTCTAAAATAAATAAACTTACAGTAAAGCTTTTCAAGTTAAATTATCCACCTCCCACCTTTAAAGTAATTAATTTTAAAAGCAGTTCTTGGGTATAGGCTATTTTTTGGTCCCGCTCTTTTCCTCTAAGTCTATAGACGTTTTAATAACATTTCTTAGAAATGTCTCATATTTTTTTCTCCCCCAAATTAATAAATTCCAATTAGATGGAAATGAGGAAAACCTAGCGTTGCTCTGTTGTATTTTCAACGTTAGAGGGCGAATGCGCTATATATCACGTATCACGTAAATCTGAAAAAAGTTAGATTCGATATGATTTTCGATATTTTTAATGGATAATTTTATATGAGGATTTATTAATCTAAAAAATAAAAATCATAAAATTGATTTCCATCAAGAATAAAATTTAACGGATATGCCCTTGTATGTTGTAAGAAAAAGCAATAAAAATACTAATGATATTCTATTTGCTTATAAATTTTTAAATAAAATTATTAATACCAGGATTGTAAAATAATACTTAAAAGTTAAATTACAATCATAATTTAAAATATGAATCAAAATCCAACATGGAAAATTTTTTTAAATGGATAACACTATTTTTTCTTTGAAACATTTTTTCTATAATCTGGATGTTCAGTCTAGGGTTGGGTCCTCCCATTATAAAAACGATTCTGATATGTATTGATTTTTACGAGATTATTTTTATTTTACCTTTTTAAAATATTTAATATCTTAATATGATCTCGGTTTAAGTTTGCTAAACAATTGTGTAAGCACAAATTCTAACATCTATGCTAATGTTTCATATTTTATTAGTGTTAGTGACAATAAATAAAATAAAATAAAATCCTTTTAACCAGTATAGTAGAGTAATGGGCATCCATATGATTAAAAAGATTCTGAAGATTTTTTCAAATATTTAGTATATATCCTATATTATTTGAATCAGTTTGGAAGACATTTAAAAAAAAGATATTAGCAAATTTTAAAAAATTGATATTTTGCTAGAATGGAAAATATAGAAGAATGAAATATGTGATTTACGATTTATTATCGGACTATCACTTTTTAATTTCTCAATCAGTATCGAGACCCCAAAAAAGAAACAATGTTATAATCAAATTCATAACTAATATGTCACACTTTATATGATCTAAGTGAACCAAGCTTTTGTAAATACTAATTATCTATACAAAATCCTTAAGTAATATTTAATTAGTGAAATCTATTCTTTGAAACTAATAGCGATTAGATCATTACTTTGGAAGGTAGCATTTAACAATATTTATTATAAATGAATTTTGATTGAGTTAATCATTATTATTAAATATAATTGCTATTTACAGATTCTAATCAGAGATAAATTTATGGAAACAATTATTTTTAGGTAAAATAAATATTTTCTTATAACAAGTATATTTATTATTTAAAGGCATATTTTCTGACACACTAAATTTAAAAAAAACATTGATATTCTTAATTCAGTGTAAACTATTCTGTATACAAAATAACAAGACAACTAAACAGAATTTGATCAATTTATTATTAATAATCAACAATTTAAAAGATCAATTACATCTTAAAATAAATTCGCGGAAAGTCTCCTTTTATTGTTTAAGTCCGGCTGGAATTTAAAATAGATACTAAAAGATACAAAAAACTCACGTATAAAATTATAAATACTTTTGTATATGATTCAAAATATAAAACTAGATTCTATTGGCCTTGTTTGAAATAGATTTTTTTAAATATAAAATCCGTCAAATTTTTGAATACATTGAAAATGATATTTCTTAATATATAATTTTTACATTGAAACTATAAACATCAAGTATGAAATTCCCATCAAACACTCAGATATTTTTTAACATTGAGAATATATTTTTGGGAGAAAAGGATCTTCAGATATCCAAGCATTGGCTAATTCATAGCTTAACAGAGTTAATATATGCGAGACATATTTTTGCAATCGTATAATTCAATAGTTTTATTTTTTTAGATATCTCAGATTTTCCCAAATGGAAAAAGAATATTAATAATATTAGACTCTGACGAGCATAAGATTTCACCATCTATGTTCTAGAAACTCAAGTCTAAATTAAATTAACTTTTAAATAAGACATAAGTTTATGTATACAAAGTCAAAAAAAACCTCTAAAATGCCACCTTGTTAAATACAAAGGATTTGATATGAGTCAAATGGGGGAAGTTCAAACTAGTGAATAGTTAGTAATTAGGGAAAATTTGGTAGGAATCTTGTACATTTCTAAGCGACTAATGCAAAATATTTCCATAAATACTCACCTTGATCTCATTGATGCCACCAAATTTTATATGTGGCTTAAAACATACCGACCCCCCCCCCCCTATTAGTATGCCAAATTCGTAAAACACATATCATGTGGTTGTAGCATTTTTATTTGTGTAAATATTGAATTACATTTCAACTCAATTTTTAAAAAAATAGATTTTCAGCAACCCTTACAGATTTAATTTAAATTTAATGGAATAATTGGAGCCCTACAGATAGCCTGAAGCTCAACCTTTTTGTAGTTAAAATATTTAATTTGATATAAAAAAATTGTGAATATGAATTGACTAAATAACAGGAGTGTACGCATCGCTATGGGGAGTAGGGGAGATATTTATATTTTTGTAAGAAATATATTAGGACTTATTTAAGAATATTTTAAATTTCATAAATTTATTAGGACTAGTGACTATAAATATTGACAATTTCTAATACACTATAAATTAATGATAAATATTATTAAATGTATAAACGGCATATGAATCGCTATGAACGATATCTCGAAGAAGAAATTTGTAAAAAAAATAAAGTTTTTTCAGGAAGCTTATTACTAAACAGCCTAAACGCAAAAGGAAGATTTAGATAAAAACGAAAAAAAAAATGTAAAAAGCAAAAAAACAACGAGAATGAAATACGAAAAATAGCAATGCCATCTAAATACTTAAAACAAACTAAAATAAGATGTCTTATTTCAAAAGCTGTTTAGTCCAGGCTAAAAAACAATTGAGTCTCAAGATTAAGTAGAACCAGGACACAAATTTAAGCATTTAAAATTTGATATATAAATTTAAATTATATTTTTAAAAAAATATTAATGTTGGAAGTATAGAAGCACAAAAATATTCTTAGGAATTATTGCATATATAAACTTACAAAGTATATATGTAAAATTATATAGTGTATCAAAAATGGCATATAATATAATTAAGAAGCATATATAAGTTTAAAATGTGAAATTAAATCATCTTTGGATTTAGCTTTTTCAGTGATTTTATCAGTGCTTCTACTTGGTGTCAACTCCATATGTATATTAAGGTGGATAGCTAATTCATCCAATCTATTTTAAGAGGTAGCCTTCTCAGTAATATTGTTAAATATCTCGAATTGAGCCAATAAAAACGGGTAACTCAATATTGTACTCAGAAAGCAAGCCTTAAGATTTTGCTCATATATGGCGCAAAGTTTGGACTTTATTAGCGAAATCTCGAGACTTATGCTATATTTTGTGGCTAAATTATTGAGTTAGCCATTTTTTAAAAAAAATTGGATTAAATCGAGCCCACTACCTCTTAGGTATGTTTTTATTCTTGATAAATAAAATGTCATTCATTGGTAGAGAGGTACTAATAAATTGAGTTGCCAAAATATAAAATAATTTTTATATATTTGGAAAATAGTCTCAATATGTTTAAAATTATGCAAAGAATCTATAGCATTTTTTCAAATATTATCAACCTTATTTATTATCCTTTTATTATTTAAAAAAAAATATTTTTTTTAAAGAAATAATTATTTAATTTAATAATATAATTTATATTTGTTAACAAATTAGATATTTATAAACTTAATAATATAATTTATATTGTTAAATATCTATCAAATAAACTAAAAACATCTATAAAAATTATAGAATCATATGATATGATTCAAAAATATTTTGAATTTGGGAAAAACTTTAATGTATATTTAGACGTAATTGATTTTTGAATCGTAATTTTAAAATTCGATATATAAGACTCAGCTAAAAGCGGACACTGGATTTTATTTCGCTTATAATTTGTTTTTATTTAGTGATTAGAATAACTAATTGATCAATTAGAAGGTATTAATCATTCCTTAAATATTTTTCATCGCTTCTATTTTCCTTCTAACATGAATATCAATCTTGACAATTTATTTTTATTTTGCCAATAATGTTTTTCTTTACCTATCAAACGAGTTGAAGTACTGAAATAAGCACTCAAAGATAATGCTTTCATATATTTAGATGACTTTAAGCTTAAGGCGTGATATCATAGTTTGTATTTACTTCGTAATTCAGTTACTTTAGTTGCGGCTGGCGAAATTGATTAAAGAATAATGGCTCTAAATATCAACGCAAATCAGATAGCAACTTCTACATTCTCCTTTCTGGCATAATGGTAATTTTTACAATTATTTATTTTTGGCAATATTTCCCTTTAAATCATCTACCAAATAGAATAAAATATTCTAATTACTCATTGGTTTGATACAAGTTGTCGATTATTCCAAAAACTTGGCAAACTTCACATTTAAAGTATGACGTCATAGCTTTTATTTTGTTTATAAATCAATTTCTTTTTGTGGTTCTCATTATTGTGGAATTAAAAGTACTAGTCATGCACTTAATATTAGCGCACCCCAGATATATAATACTTTATATATTTCCCATTCTAGCATAAGGCCAATAAACGGCTTATATTAATTTACAATATAGCATTAAACATTGTTAAAATTTTCGGAATAATACTCTCAGCCACTTTATCGTAAGGTTGGCAAACTTTTTTACTAATAATTTTTTATTTTTTTTAAGTCAGATGTTAATAAAACACTAAACATTGTCATATTTTTGAATTAGTGCTTCCACTTCAGCAATGAATATGATATAAAGATAACCACTAAAAAATAAATAATATAAAATATTTTTATAGAAAGGGTCAAAGGCCTGGCAAAACGGGGTTTGGGAAAAGTTCACCTTTTTATTCCCCCCCCCCCCCATGGAAAAATGTTTACATTCAGCTAGTTATTGCTGTGCTGCTATAAAAGATTTATAGCATATATTTCAAGCAAAATTATTGCACAAAAAAGAAGAATTATAATAGTATATTATAACTTTAATATTCTCACAATAAAAATCTGCCAAATATTTAATTTTTTCTATATCAAGATTTGAAATAGATTCAGAAGGATTTTGCGATAATAATATTTTCAGATATGTAAAAGCTGCCTGATTATTTAAGAGTCTTTCATTCATTTAAGTTACAAAAGTGTCCAAGAGGGAGATAAATAGATTTATTTTATAGTATCCTTTGACTGGCCCTATATTAATATAATATTGGAACGATGGACTTGTCATGCTGCGAGTCAAGGCAGATAAATATTAAATTCATGAACTCTGCTTTAATTTCCTTAAGTTCCCATATTGAGCTTTCAGCCGTTTTTATAGTACTGGTGTCATTTTTTGAAATATTTTTTTTTTGCTATGGAAAAAGTTTTAAATGATTTTGTGGGAAATTTTATTAAAATGGTAGATAAATATAACACTAAGGAAAAATTTAAAGATGTGAATATGAATGTAAATTGCAAAATATATGCGATAAGAGGTAGGATCCAGTATAATTTTGAAAAATATTTTAGCCGGCTTCTGAATTTTTTGTGGGCTGCGGTACGCACCTGATATCGAAAAAATAGTGCGTTACGAATTTGATTAACGCTTTAAAAAATATTGATAACATAATTTTGGGAAGTAAAAAGACTGAAGCAAGCAAAGATCTGAAGAAAGCAGATTCAATAAAAAGGAAAAGGAAAATTTGATATGAATTATTATATCTTAATTTATTACTTAAATTTTAGCAATACAACAATTATTATTTCCTCCACTAAATAAACTGTTTTGTTAAAGTATTTTAATAATATCTATATTAACTAAAAAAATATCCGGCAGCTATTAAGTCAAAAAGTGAAAAAAATATAATAATTACACAATACGATTTTCAGTTTACTTTTAAAAAAATGGATGTCCAGAAAATAACCATAATCTGGAACTTTGTTTAATTTACAAAAAAAAATTTATTATTTAATTAAAAAAACGATTATTTTATATTTAGGATCTTAAATTTATCTACATTAAATTAGATTTAAAATTTCTAATTAGTTCTAATAGATGTATATATTACTATAATTATTGTAAATAAAAAATGGAATCATCATTTTATAATAACGATCTTAAAATGCATTTTATAGATATTTTTGATTCAATCATAAGTAAATATCTTGACAATCCAAAATTAATAAATTAAATAAATTTTTTAGGATATAATTGAAATCTCATGTATAAATATTAAACGCCCTAGGAGATTTAAATACAACATCCGTAATAATTTTCTTTAGAAAGGATATAATTATGACAGGAAAATGAAGAAGAATAAAAATTTGGAGAAATTGTTGATTCATCCTGGTGACAATTTCCCTCCTAATAATTCATTACAATTCTACGATTTGATGAATGAGACGATGAGGGTGAGATCGGCTGAGATTCCCAGGCTAGATAATCCTAATTTTTTATTCATACCCAAATTCGATGATTTATCCCATCTTAAATCCTTACTTTATAAATCCCAATCTGATACACAAATAGAAACGGATTCTGTAAAGCGTGATCAAAAGGTGTGTTATCTAGTATATTATATTAATTAATTTGAGATCTTTTAGTATTTAAAAAATAAATTCATACTAAGAAATTATTAAATATAATTTCTAATATCATAAATAACTAAAATTAGTATATTCCTTAAAAATAAAATTTTGAAAAACCAATCTTATTATGATTGGCTTGTAACTTGCATATCGACTTAATCGGGCTGAGGGGATCCCCCAGTTACAAGTTTTTTAAAATATAATTTTGCTAATAAAAATACCCCTCCCCCTTTCTCCTCTCTAAAAAATGTAATTTTCATAAAGGTTCTTAATCTATATAATTTATAAAAAGGGGGGGGGGAAGGTCAAAATTCTTTTTTCGCAAAAAAATCTTGATTATACCTATGACTTGCAAGCAGGGTTGTCAGGTCTACCACATTGACTAGATGTCTGCCACAATTTTCTTAAAAAATCGAAATCTACCACACTCAAATCAACTACCACAATTCTACTACATGTTTAAAAATTTACCAAATATACCACAAAATCTCTTACATTTGATAAATTACTTCAAAAATAAAGATTTCAAAATTTTATATATAAAAATATAATATATTTTTAAGCCCAAAAAATATAAATTTCAAAATCAAAATTTTCAATTATCTCTTTTTATTTGATCCCCATGTTCTTAAATTTATTATGTTTATCTGATAACCATATAATTAGCATCTAATTTGTATAAATTCTAATCATTAAAAACATTTATTAAGAATAAATCCTCACTATATTTATATCAGCGGATACACGAGCCGGGCTGTATTTTACTTTTTTTTAAACCAAATATTTTACATCGCCATTGTTATCTATAAAAATTAAAAGTAAATTTAATATTTAAAAAAATCCTGGCTGGGCCTAAAAATTTTTTTAAAAAAATCCCACCGGGCCTAATAATTAAAATCCGGTCAGGCCGAAAAAATTTTAAAAAAACTTTTTTTTTACGAAAATCTAATACAATCTAATAATTTTTACCTCACCCGGCTTGCAAGATATTTTTTTAAAGTTAAGCATATGTATGGTGGTATCAAAAGCTTATATAATAGATGGATGCTAATTTCATTTTTTGTATTTAGTCGTAAAGCATTTTTCCCGAATAAATAATATTTTAAGCGTTCACAAAATAATTTTAGTTTAGGAGTACAGCTGAGCATAATTTTGAAACTCCATAGTGTAACCACTAGAAATTGTACATATCCTTAAACAAATATAAACCGATTATAAATTTTTTTAAAAATTCTTAAGTCAAATCATGTTATTCATTTTAAAAAAAATACAATATTAAAATTTTATAGATTTCCATATTTTTTAATTTATTTGCGAATAAAATTATTTAACTTGTAAGTTATAAAATAAGGATCTACGATTTCCATCGATCTTAATTTTTCTTTAACATATAATTTTAAAAAATTTGTAGTTTAGGGGATCTAAGGACCCATTGGTAGAGATAACTATTGAGGTGTGAAAATCTAAAAGGTCGTACTAATCTTTAATTAGAGGAGAATTCAAATGAGTTTCCTCTAAACTAAAGGGTATTGGTAAGGCCATCCGGTCTTTTATCATCAGACAGGCATAGGTAAACGGGTTCAAGGCGATTTGGATTGTTAGCTAAACCCAATTTATTATAGATTATCACATTTATTGCTTAGAATGTAAGCAGGACATATCTAGCTTTCGAGTCATACTATTTCCCACACTGTTTACATTTATGAGGTAGACATAGGTTGCAACCTACTCTATGCCCTATTATCGCCCTTAACTCTCCATTTAATAGCAACAGACCAAGATTAGAACTTGAAAACGCTTCTAGCTATTCGTGACACGAGTGTTGTACCAAAAACATGAGAATGTGAGTGTCTTCAATAGAGCTATTACCCAAATTTGCCAGAAGGTTACGAAATATTTCTTGTGCCGTGGACTATAGGAGATGAAGGACACAAATATTTCCCCCATATATGGCAAGCAGTTTTAAATGGACGATCTCTTCCCTTTACGAGCTTATGAATATTAAATTGTGATGATTAATTAACGATATCATATGTGTAACCGGGGGAATCATGGGGACCTTTCCTCCTATAATTAGCTTGTTTTTGTATATCATTTTAGATAATAATAAAAAACTTCCATAGACTCTACCCACCCTCCCTCCCCCAAAAATGTATAACTATAAAAATTTTTAAAAAATTTATTTAAATTTAATAATTTTAAAAATAATGACTATATTTAAAAATTTTTAGAAAAGAATTTTCTAAAATGTGTAAAAGTATTATTTAAAAAAAATATAAAACTCAGCCAAAGACTTGCAAAAATGTACCAGCCCTCCTATAAAATATATGAGAATTTTATTATACATTTTTGAAATAAAATCAATAATAAGTAATCATGCTAACTATAATATTTTATAAATCTTTAAATAAGATCAAGAAATTGACAAAAACTTAAGATTTGGAATACAATAATAATATAGAAATTTAAATCGTTTCAATTATAAATTGTTATGAGGCGTAATATTGACAATGATTAAGAAATTCTATCAATTGTTAATAGTTATTAATTATGATTCTAAGTTGTGACACAACCGATTAGCTTATTTCAAGTGCTGATTTATTTATTTCAAAAGATATTACAACCGCTTACCATAATTTTTTCCAACTAAACCATGTAATTATCGAAAAATCTCAACCAAAATTTAAAAGGAATATATATACTTCTTAAAAATTGTTTTATCGGGTGGAGAAGTTGAAAATTTTTTATAATTATTCATTAATATTATATATAACCTAGCCCACATCCTGCTTTGTCTAGAGTGTATTCACTGATATGTTTTCACTGTAATACATAGCTGTCAACGTCTACATGACAAAATAGTTACTAGAGCAATCTTCCCCTCTCAAAAACCTATACCTACCCCCCATTACGCTGCCTTCGGTGGTTATATTGCCATGATAATTACAAGTTTTTAAATATAATGGTAATCCCTTCATATATTTTAAAATGAATATCTTAAAATAAATTAAAAACCCCCTCATTTACAATGAATGCATTATTATAGTATATATTGGCATTAATATAAGTTAGCTGTTAGAATATCTAACTCTATTAAATTATATTTAAAAATATAGCAGGAAATTATCCATAAATAAGTTTTATTTGAAAAATAATGACTATGATTTTATACCCTATATATAGATTTGGTCGATGTTTAGTAATATATGTATATTATAATATGTCTATAATCAAAATATTAAATAAATTTTTGCAACATATATTATTGCTCTATTTCATCTTAAAATATAATGATAACTCCCCAATAAATTTACCCTACTTAGCCTATCCCCTTTATATGATTACCCCCTTCAAAATGTTAGGAGGCAAAATTATCCAACTCCCCTCCCCCTTTGCTCGTGTAGATTCCGATCATTGCAATGCAATGCATCCGCTGTAATATTTCCGCAGAAATGCATTAGCGAGAATTTATGATACATTCGCTATAATAAATATTGGTAATGTTTTTGCAGTAATAGAAAAGCATAAGCGGTAGAACATTCCTAGAAATGCATTCGCGTTATTTTCTTTTCGCGATAATCAATATTTGCCGTTGTCTCTTTCGCGGAAAAAATGTAGCAATAATAGCATAATATGATTTTAATTTGGCTAGTTTAAATTTTAATTTTTTTTAAAGTTGTCACCCGATTATTTAAAAAAAAACATGATTAAGCTCTCACTCATGACCTTGGATAAAAATAGCTTAACCTTAGAATATGAAAGTAATATTTATAAATATTGATAGGAAATGTAACTATTTGTGTATGAATAGTTTCATTAATTATTATATTAATAAAAAAGAGTATGTTTTATGAATTTTTAAAAAATATATTTTTTATTATCCAATAATTGAAAAGAAAGATTAAGACATAGATGGACATGGACACGACCTGCCCAGTTGTATTTGGGATTCATATGTCTAAGGAAAGGGTCCCTGGAACGCGATTTAGTTATAGTCTTTGGGACGCATCCCCTAAAAACTTTCTAATTAACAATCGTTATAAATTCTTTTATTTTTTCTTAAATTTTCTTAAATCAAATAATATTATATTATAATAGATTGCTAAATTATGTTACCAAACTGAAATGATCGATAATGTATCAATTCATGAAAACTCATCTATATCGGATAGTATATCAAATATCGAAGGAAATGGTGAAAATGATGCCTTGGTGATTAATCCTGCACATTCTTCCTCAAATCTCGATTCACTTCTATATAAAATGAGGTCAAGTTCAAAGTTTACGCTACATTTTGTCGATTGTGAATTATGGTTTATATTAAGTATAGGATATTTAACCCTTAAAAAACTATTCATTTTTAATTTATTTATATAATAGAGCATTTTTTAAAATATTATTAACTAGATGGCACCTTTTTTAAAAATCGCTATTCTGCAAAATTGAAATTACGGATTATAATTCTCAGAAAATTTTTTCTAATGGTTTCTTTAAAGAAATTATCAAAAATAAAAAAAATGAAGGGGTTTTTCTAGAAAATTATTTTCCTTTTGCCAAAATTGATTCAAGTAGAGAGCGGTCATATTTTATTTTAAATTAAATTTGTATATAGTATATTTTATTTAAACTTGAATAATATATTTATAGCATGATTATATTTTTAAATAATTAGTTTATTTTGAAAATAGAAAATGTGCATTGGTTGATAATATCCTCCCAACCAAATCGAACAGCTATATAGATGAAGGCTTGGTGAAAGGTTATTTTTAGCAATTTGAATTTTATTTGAAGGAAAAATAATTATTTTAATGAAAAGACCCATTATTTTAAAAATAACTTTCTCTTACCTATCAATGATCCTTCCATTATATTGAGGATTTATTTCTTCCTACTAGGCCTATTTAAAAAAATGCGAATTGAAAAGCGCATTATCCGTATTTTACTATATACACTCGTTAGAATTATCAAATTTACATTCATATTTGATTCGATCAATTTATTTTTTTAAATGTAAGAAATTTTATTTCAATCTTATCAAAAGCAAAAATAATATTAAAAACACATACATAAGAATTTACAAAATAATATTAAAATTATAACATTCAATTTAAAAAAATGTGAACAATTGTAATGCACATGAATTTCAAACATCTATTCAAAATTCCTTCAATTGAATTTTTTATTTTAAAGTTATGGTTATTAGAATTTTTTTTAAAGTTTATGACCTCATTGGGACAAAATTATACAAATTAATTAAAAATAAGAAATATGAATATGGATTTGAATGAAAATTTGGAATATTTATTAAACTTGACTCGATCGAATCTATAAATTCGGCGTTTAAGGTTGAAGAAAACCCGTTCCACTGAGGTATTGGCCGAATAATACATTGTACTCGATGAAGATAGCATCTTACTAGGACATTCATCATATTTTATATAATCCGAATTATCTTGGCATTTTACAATATTGCACTATTATATAGTTAAAATGTCTCATCATGAGCTATTTCTAAGCCTTAAAATGAGAATCTAGTTCCAAATATCAAATAAGTGTATTTGACTATTACTTTTAGATATTAATTTCTAACAACGGTTATTTTTCTACAAATGTTATGCAACTTATGAGTGACATAGCCGGAGGAGTAAATATTATTTGAAGAGAATATAAATTATCCCTTTACAATCAACCCAATCCTTCTCTTATATAATTATAAACATTAGGTTTTAATAAAGAGTTTATAAAGTTAAAAATAATTACTATAATTGAAATTTTTCAGAAAAAACATTTTAAAAAAAGTTTAAACTAAAATTACCGTATAGTTCGGTCCGATTGTTGCAATAGGTTGACCTATAGCCCTCCAATAAAATATAAGAGTGTAAAATATACCCATAATTCTCCCTATTCAGAAAATCCTGTATACGCTTATGAAGGAATCATTATAATGATAAGAGTATATAATGTTCTTTTTTTAAATATCATTTTAAACCAATAAATTATCCTCCTATCTTCCCCCAACCTTCTTCTCAAAAAGTTACAATAAACACTAATTTAAAAGAAAAATTAGTATAAGATAATAATTTTTTAAAATAATGACTATAATTCAAAATTTTCAGAAAAAATATTTTTAAAAAAGGAAAATGAAAACCCGAAATTATTATTTAAATATAACTGCCCAAAGACCTGTAATAGGTAGACTTATAGTTATCCAATGGAAGTTATGGAGGGAGAATTTACCTAATGCCCCCCCCCTCACAAAACCCTGCCTATCCATGAGCTATCCTCTATTCATAATCATATTGTTCCCGAATCTTCATCTGGAGTGGGGTTAGGGGTTACTAGATAATCAAGGTTAACCCATCAGAGTGATTATCCATATTTATATTCGATTTTTAGGTAATAATTAATCACAAAATAAATTTCTAAAAAAATGAATTATATTTATCAATTTAGGGTTTTAATTTTTAATTATTGCTTAAAATTTGTTCAAAATATGACAGTTAATATAAGAAGTTTTAAATCAAAATGGAGTAAGATCTATATATATAATCACCGTAATCAAGAAATACTTTTCTATCATCTTAATGTTAATTTTTTCTATCAACTTTCCTATCTTAATGTTAAATAAATCGATGGAGACTATATATCTTTAATGTTAAATTTTAAGAAAATTTTTTGTATACCACTGGATTCGAACCCATGATTTACGTTTTAAAGGCAAACGTTCTTCCCACTCAGCCACCTTCTATATTAAATTTTGTAATATAATCTTTCTTTATGTCGTATTGGGATATGGAATCATATGGGATTCGGAATCCCAACGTGGGGATTCAAGTTCGTGATCTTTTTTAAAAAAATTTTTAAAAAATATTCCGAATCCCCATGAAAAAAAAATAAAATAATTTAATTACCTTTTCTTGTCTTTTTTTGCGGCTGGCACCATATAATTAAAAGGCCAAAATAAGAGATTTTAAAAAAAGTAAATAGTATAAAATTAAGGCGTATAATGAATGAAAAGGAATGAGGTTAAGACTTTTTTGTTTTAAAAAATATTAATAAATATATTTATAAAAAATCCGAATTATTGCAACAAATTTCGTTTATACCTACAAAAATACGAATCGAATCGAATAATTCCATTATTCGTATTCGTTTAAATCGAATAATTTATTATTCGTATTCGTATGAATAATAAAATGATTATTCGATTCGATTCGAAAATTTTATTCCATGAATTAAAAAAGATCTATTATAAAATTTATTTTGTAAAATTTAACTAAGGATAAAGACAAACAAATTTTATTAGTGAGACAAAATAGAAGCATTTATATACAATGTGGAAAAATCAATATAATATTCATATCTATAATGAAGATAAATCTGACAACAGCCAATTTTTCAAACATAAAGTTTTTCGGATTGTTTCCTCCTTTAACGACATTCTGTATTTTGTAACCATATGAGCTCCAACAGAAAAGAGTCGCTTACATGGGGTTGAAGATCCCTGTATCGACAATATGTCCCTCGCCATTTTAGATAACACGGCATTAGCAATATTTTACAAATAAAGTGGTAAAAACTTTAGGCAAAAAGTCAAATTTATGATTTCTCCATCATCAAATGAAAGAGAAATATCAGGTTTGCCCGTCATTCTTGATGTGATGGGATTAACAGTTTATTATAATTGTATATGTTATGTGTTATATAAATTACCTTCTTCGTCCTTCTCTATCATAAAAGAAATTTCTAAAGTAATGGTCTATTATGAGATAAATTAAAATGGAGTTTCAAAATTTGGCGCAATTTTCATTATTCCACTAGGAGATTTTATTAAATTGAAATAATTTCAAATAATTCCTAATAATAATATATGATTTATATGTGATTATTTTCCAATATATATTAATACTATAAATTATTTTAGTCGAATAATCTCGAATAATTCGATCGAATAATAGATAAAAAATTATTCGACGAATAATATATTTTCCTTATTCGAATTCGATTCGAATTTTCGAATCGAATAATTGTGTTATTCGTATTCGTAAAATACGAATCGAATATCGAATAACAAATAATTCGTTTTAGGTATAATTTTGTTGAACATTTAAGCAGGGACGGTTACGGTTCAGTATGTAAAAAATTATAATGGTTGCGTTTTGGTTATGGTTCTTGAGAAGAAATTTATAAAGGTTCGGTTCTGTTCAACTAATTATAAAGGTTTAGTTCATAATTTATTTTTAATTGAAACCATCTTCTAATATATTTATATTATAAGCATCTATGAATTATATATAAAAAAAATATATAAGATTCAAAATAATTTTTAAATATATTATTTGAACTTAGCTTTTTCTACAGAAACTTGTGTTGCGGGACCGCCAGTACTATAAGAGAACGTTTATATAATTCTGGATATTAAAATTATTTCTTTAAAATATAAAAACTGAACCGGTTTAACCGTTTTTTCTAAATGTTCTTTTTACTCCTTCAAAAAATAATTATATTCGGTTACGGAAAAATAAATTTTTTAAAAAAAAATATTTAAGGGGATTCGGAATCTTTTTTTAAAAAAACAATTAAATTATATTTTATGCCGCCTGGCTGGCACCATAAAATTTTATTTTTTAGAGATATTTAATATGTATTTTTTTTCCGCGTCATGGGTTACTTTATTTGAATATTTACTGATAGTATTACTTTTACGCTTTAAAAATATTTTTTGGTTATAAAAATTTCAAAATAAGGGATTTAAAAAAAGTAATAGTATAAAATTAAGGCATATAATGAATGAAAGGGATGAGGTTAAGACTTTTTTGTTTAAAAAAATATTAATAAATATATTTATAAAAAATCCGAATTGCAACAATTTTCGTTAAACATTTAAGCAGGGACGGTTACGGTTCAGTATGTAAAAATTATAAGGGTTACGTTTTGGTTACAATTCTTTTATAAAATTGCAAATTTAATTTAAAATTTATTCACACTCACGCCGTAACCCACCGTTAACACGATAGGTCAAGTGTAATTTTACGGCCTGCGCCCACCTCTAATCATACTTATTTAATTTTTTAGATAAATTTTTTTTTCATTGATAAAATGGTTAAATTATTAAGAAATGGATCTTTCATGGTATTAAGAAGTCTTGGCAGTATATGAGGTAGTAAGAATTTATCACCTCTTATATTATGCCATGTGCAATTATTAAATAAGCATTTGTATTATTTTGGTAAATATTTTTAGGCATATTTTGAAATTGGTAAAATAATTTTATGACAAGAAATCAACCTAATTTGTAAACATCGACCAAAATTTATTAAAATGTAATAAGACCCCCATTTATAATTAAATTTAATATACGGAATCACGAGGTCGAGTCCTATACAGGGTTGCCAGGTCAAAATTTTCAAATTGTGGGAGAAATTACGTATTTTGTGGGAGAAATATATAAATTGTGGGAGAAATTGCTAAAAAAAAATTTTTTTGCGGGCCGAAGCTCCGCAAAGGCCCGGCCTGCAGCCGGGATTTAGAATTGACTTAGTTATCCGCTTATTATTTTTTATAAATATAAAATCTAATCTAAAATAAAATAGGTAATTATTTTTCAAAATAAAATAGCCAACTATTTATAAAATAAAATAGCTAACTTTTTCCAAAATAAAATAGCCAACTATTTTTCAAAATAAAATAGCCAACTATTTTTCAAAATAAAATAGCCAACTATTTTTCAAAATAAAATAGCCAACTATTTTTCAAAAT